CGCGAAATTCAAAAAACAAACAAAACAAACCCTCCTAGCTGCCATTTCTAGGCTAGAACCTCCCCATTTTCCTTCACAAAATACCATTTTTGTTCTGGAAGGATGTTTACAGAAATTGTTTGCAATAGTACTGTTTGAATGTTCATTTTAAAAAGTTTTTTCAAAATAGAGGTAATATATGAAAATGTTTCTTCAGTTTTACTTGGGGATTTCCTTGAGATTCTTAATCTTCTTGATTGAATTCTCATAGCCTTTCTCTCTCTGCTGTCAGTAATTTTAAACAATCTTGCTTGTTTATCTTCAGAGTAAATTTCTGGATGATTAAGAATTTTGTAGGCTATCCAGGCTCGAATAAATTGTGACTGTGATATATCATAAGGAGAGTGGCTACTTGTACACAGGATCCATGCATAGAAACAAACAAAAATGCCACAATCAAAATAAATTTCCCATGGAACTGATGAATGGATGAGAAAAATGTCAAAATTAAATTAAACAATTGCATGTGCTCCCCGTGCATAGATACTAAGCAACTTATTGTTTTCGTTTTTTTAACTACCTTAAACAAAATCCAGTGACATGCTTTCACATTAGCTGGGATGAGAAGAAGGTCAGAGTGAAAGAAATGTTTTTCTACCCATTTCAGAATATCCATAGTTTTCCGTCAACGATCAAGCCATTGCATGCATGAAATAACACGAAACTAGCAAAATGTTGATTACATTCAATTGAATTGGACACTACTAAGGAAAGCATCAATCACAATATCAGTTACCCACTTTCTTGGTCGCAATTAATTCAAATCTTCAATGAAAACATCAATTTTACCAACTCATGTAATAGGCTGGCAAGAGTCACCATTTATGGTCGGGAATTTCAACTCTTGGAGGAAAACTTGATCATTTTTATTTAAATACATTTCAAATGTTTTTGGTGTACAAGTCAGCCTTCATTGGATTATTCTTTGATAACACTCATTAGTGTTCTTCCCTTCAGAATTACCAGAAAATTTGTTAAGTTCAGGGGCATGAGATTAAGTTTGTGATTTAATTGTTTTTTGTCTTTGGCTTCTATGTGTATATGTGACTTAGGATCGTCTACAGTTTTTTCATGATCTGACAAGTGAGTTATGAGACTAGTTTCTATTGAATCTGATGCTGCACTCATATGTTTATTTTACACGTGGCCTCTTTCTAACAGCTTTGTTTCTCTTCCGCAATTTTCTTTTCAGTTGACTTAAGTTAGAATGTTTAGGAGAACACGTGTCATGTTATCCTATGGACATTTGAGCTGCTAATATGTGATAACAGGATCTTGGTGATGGGAACATACACCTTTCTACAGAATACAATTGTACAGTATGAATTTCATTGGAAAGGCTTTGTACAATAAAACACTTTAGTTTACTCTGAAGAGCAATGCGTCCATTTTTTACAACCCATTGGGCCAGTCCTTCTCGAGTTTTTATAGCACTTTTATCATTAAGTATTTTTTCTTCTGACTAGTACGTTTTACACAATAGTAACAATATCACCTGGGCTAATAAGATCACTTGGGAAAACAACTTCATTTTCCCTCAAGTGATCTTCAGACGTCTTTAGATGTAAACTACCAGTGCCACACAGTCCATGTAAAATCTCACAGTGGTAATACACAGACAGGAAATAAACATTAAGCAGTATTCTTCCACCCTTAGTTCTTTGTGCTCAGTCATTCTTTTCAGGACACTATTAAACGTTTTTGCACATCTTGTTGTAATTCCTAATGTATGAGAATACAACCCATCTTCTTCTAAAACCCATCGACAAGAATGTTCTGTGAGGGTCTTTTTCTGAGTGTGCTTCAAAATAATCAACAAATGCAAGGCTTCACTTAACTTTAAAGTTAGAAAACAGAAAATCATACATATTTTTACATTCAGAATCCAGAAGCTGGAGCACATGATTTGTATTCATTTTTTATATCATTTGTTCTTCCGTATTTAGAAAGCCAAAATTTCAGGTCTAGAAGAATGTGGTTCCAACAGTGAAACAACTTCGATTTAGGCAACTCTAATGCTATAGCATTATCAATTGCCTGCTCTCTGTGGCAAGTGGAATATACACGTTCTTTAATGTTGGCCACCGATCAGTTAAGATTTGGAAAAACAACCTGTGTGACTGTTCATATTTCCTATCATTAAGTAAGAATACAGCAGGAGTGATAGGTTTCTCCTTAAATCTAGCGTTCTTAAAGTGCAAGCACGTTAAATAAAAGTCTCCTAGACAAAATATTGTGTAATAGCTAGCTAAAATCCGTCATATCACTCCAATGTAGGAACCAGTTCTTTAACTAATTCATCAGAGCTAAAAACAATTGCAAAATAAGGCAAAATATTATTACTCCATATCTAGTATTTTGTTGTGCAACCTACTTTATAGCTTGCAAAAACGTCATCATGTGAAATTCTTTGATTCTGTTTTTCTAGATTAATGCGATTTCTTACTTGTTCTGGATCTGTTTTACTTTAAAGTAAGCTTGTGCAACTGGCTCTGAAACACGTTTTCTGTATGTTTGTTTGGTTCTTCTTTCCGTTCCTTTATAGTTGTTATGGTAGATGGTATAGTACATATGTGTGTGCCCTTTTCAAATAAATATGTTTGTTACCATGAGGGTGGGACACCAAACCACTATTAGAACCAAGAAAGTGTACAAGGACGAAGTCTTCAAATTATTGATATCGTCTGATATAACTCAATAAGAATCTATTTTAAAGTTTCTAAAACTTTTTGCTTCATGGTATTCCTTAATCAGGTTTGGTAGTTTCAGTGGAAGTTTTTTTACACCCCGACAGACCCATTGTATACCATCACAGCGCCAGTCGTTTACTCTTTACATTAATAAAGAAGTGGTATATTTTACCAGGTTGTGGTTTGGCTGGAAGTTTAGAATATTTATTTGTTGTAGAAAATATATAGTTTCTAGCTGTCTCCAATATTAATGATTCCTTTGAGAAACCAAAAGG